TTACTTTCTGGTGGTCGTTGACGACTTCTCCCGCTACACCACAGTGTTCCCTCTGGCGAAGAAGTCTGAGGTGACTTCTACGCTGATCAGGTGGTTGCTCACCACCGAGGACACTCGTGGTCGTCGTGTCAGCTGTCTCCACTCCGACCGTGGGGGTGAGTTTCGCTCCGGCATTCTCGCTGGATTCTGTCGCGAGCAGGGCATTCGTCAGTCCTTGACGCTTCCAGAGTCCCCACAGCAGAATGGGGTTGCTGAGCGCCGCATAGGCCTGGTCATGGAGATCGCCCGCACCTCCCTGACTCACGCCTGTGCCCCCCATTTTCTGTGGCCCTACGCGGTCAGGTACGCCGCGCACCAGCTGAACCTCTGGCCACGTGTCTCTCGACCAGAGGTTTCACCGACCAGTCTTTGGACAGGGTCCCCTGGTGTTGCGTCGCGGTTTCGTGTCTGGGGGTGCTTGGCTCTTGTCCGCGACACCTCCGCGGACAAGCTCTCGCCTCGTGCCGTCCCCTGTGTCTTCCTTGGTTTCCTTGAGGACTCCTCTGACTTCACCTTTTACCACCCTCCCTCTCACCGGTTCTTTGACTCCCGTGACGTTCGTTTCGAGGAGTCCACTCCGTACTACGTCAGGTACCCCAGTCGAGGTCTCCCGGTTCCTCCCCCCCCTCTCTTCCTGACTGCCGTTCCCCCTCCTGCTCCCCCGGTACAGCCTCCCCCCCCTGGTCCAGCCCCGTCAGGTGTGTCCCAGGCTACCCCTCCTCCTTCGGTAGCCCCTCCGGTACAGCCTCCCTCCCCACAGTCCTCCTCGCAGCGTGCCGCTGGTGCTAGCTCTCGAGAGGTTGGTACGGCGCCTGTTCCTGTACCGGTTTCTGGTTCTGGGGGTGCTGGAGTTGGAGCTGGAGTTGGAGCTGGAGTTGGCACTGGAGTTTCTGGTTCTGGGGGTGCTGGAGTTGGAGCTGGGGTTGGAGCTGGAGTTTCTGGTTCTGGAGTTGGAGCTGACCCGGTGGGTGCAGAGGACTCTTGTCGTCCGGGAGCTGGTGCTGGCCGCGCGGACACTGGGGGTGCTGCGTCTGGGGGTGAGGGTGCGCCTCCTTCGGGTTTAGGTGAGCCTGGGTCTGGAGCTGGTGTTAGTGCTGCCTCTGAGGGTGGTGCGCCTAGTTCTTCTGGGGTGGACTCTGGAGCTGCCGCTGCTTCGGACACTACTCCACCCCCCCACCCCTACCCGACTAGGCACCAGGCTCGTGTTCGCCGTGCCCGTGACGAGCAGCTGGCGTTGGAGAGAGAGGAGAGGGAGTTACAGCGGCTGGAGGAGCAGCAGCAGCAGCTGGAGCCGCAGGAGCAGCAGCAGCAGCAGCAGCAGCAGCTGGACCCGCAGGAGCAGCAGTCCCAGCTACAGCCGCGTCCGCAGCAGCAGCAGTCGCAGCCGCAGCAGCAGCAGCCACTTCCTCCTCCTGTCTCGGGTCTTCGGATCCTTGGTCTCCCCTCCCCTTCTCCTCCCTCCTCCGCCTCTCCTCCTGTCTACGGTCCCACGATTCCTCCTCCTGACTCCTCCCCCGCTGTTTTCCCCAGTTCTCCGCCCTTGTCCTCTTCTCCTCCGTCTCGTTCTTGGGCTACTCGTCGCTCCCCTCGTGCTCGTCCCTCGTCTCCTGTTCCCTTCACTGACCTTCGTACTGCCTTCCTTCTTTCTAGTCCACCTCGTCCGTCTCAGTCTGTGCTTCCGTCTCCTCCTGAGTCGGCCCTCACTGTGTCGCTCCCTACTCCTGTCACTGACTACTACCGCACGTACCGTCCTGTTCTCTCTCGTGTTCTCGCCTCTCTTGTTACTCACCCTCGTGCCTCTGTGTCCTCTGTGTCCGCTCTTACTGCCGCAGTTACTGACTTTGCCTCTACCCGCCGCCTTGACTACGCCACCACGCTTGTGGCTGCTCCTCCTACCAGTCCTCTGGCCGTCGGGGGTGTGTCTGCCCTTGGCCGTGACGCCCTAGAGGACAGGCAGTTTGAGCTAGAGTTCCTGGCGGCCGCTTCCCCTCATCTCTGTGCCATGCTCCTCGCCCCTGAGGGTGACCCCGACGCCCTTGACATTCCGACTCCTCGCACTTACGCTGAGGCAGTGTCAGGGCCTTGGGCCTCTCAGTGGAGAGCTGCCATGGACGCAGAGATGGCCTCCTACAGATCCACAGGCACCTACGTCGATGAGGTTCCCCCCCCTGGGGCGAACGTAGTCGACGGCATGTGGATCTACAGGGTGAAGCGGCCACCGGGATCTCCCCCGGTCTTCAAGGCGCGCTACGTGGCTAGAGGTTTCAGTCAGCGCGAGGGAGTTGACTTCTTTCAGACCTTCGCACCTACCCCGAAGATGACCACTCTTCGGGTGTTACTACACGTAGCAGCACAGAGAGACTACGAGTTACACTCTCTTGACTTCTCCACTGCTTTCCTTCAGGGCAGCCTACACGAGGAGGTCTGGTTGCGTCGTCCCTCGGCCTTCACTGGCACCTTCCCTCCTGGGACCCAGTAGAGGCTGAGGCGACCTGTTTACGGTCTTCGCCAGGCCCCTCGTGAGTGGCACGACACTCTGCGTTCTACCCTCTCTGACCTTGGGTTCCAGCCGTCTTCTGCCGACCCGTCGCTGTTCGTTCGTCGTGGCTCCACACCGTTCTTTGTTCTGGTTTACGTCGACGACCTCGTTTTCGCCACTCCGGACAGGGTTGCTTTGGCAGACGTGAAGTCCGAACTGCAGAAGAGACACACGTGCACTGATCTTGGTGAGCTGCGCCACTACCTTGGCCTGCAGATCACCAGGGACAGAGCCGCTCGCACCATTACACTCTCACAGTCACACATGGTGCAGCAGGTCCTTCAGCGGTTCGGGCTTCAGCACTCCACCGTACAGCGCACACCTCTAGCTGTTGACCACAGACTCACTGGTCCCTTTCCTGACGAGCCGTTTGAGCCTAGTGGTCCCTACGCAGAGCTTGTGGGTTGCCTCATGTACCTGATGACTTGTACTCGCCCGGACCTCGCCTTCCCTCTCAGCATCCTTGCGCGCTTTGTTGCGCCAGGGAGACACCGTCCTGTTCACTGGACGGCAGCTGTGAGGGTGGCGAAGTACCTAGCGACTACATCAGGCGTGGGGCTAGTTCTTGGAGGGCAGCAGTCTGTCGTACTCACTGGTCACTGTGACTCCTCTTACGCTGACGACGCTGAGACTCACAGGTCTACTCAGGGGTACTGTTTCAGTCTGGGTTCTGGAGCTGTTTCCTGGCGTTCCACGCGCTCCTCTTCTGTCTCGACCTCTACAGCTGAGGCTGAGATTTACGCTGGTGCCATGGCGGCACAGGAGTTGCGTTGGTTGACCTTCTTGCTCGCCGACCTTGGTGAGCGGCCGAGCTCTGCACCGACCTTGTTTACTGACAACAAGGCGTCGATCCTCCTCTGTCGTGAGCCGCGACTGGAGAGCATAGTGAAGCACATTCACGTCAGGTACTTTCTTCTGCGAGAGTTGCAGAGGCGTGGACAGGCTCGCTTCGAGTTTGTAGAGTCCGAGGCCAACACTGCAGACATCTTCACCAAGGCGCTTCCGCCTTGTGACCACCAGAGGTGTTGTGTGCAGTTAGGCCTTGTTGACACAGGTTCTAGTCATGCGTAGACTTGAGTTTATTGCCTGCTTCGTCTGTACATTTACTATATATACTTGTGATCTCTTGGACTGGCCTTGTGGCCACTGTTGCTTGTGCTCAGAGTGTGTGGTGACGTTGTGATCCACCCTGAGCTTTGTTTTCTTTTGGACTGGTCTTGTGACCGTACTCTTTTTGTTTTTGCTAGACACCCCTCACTTAGGCTATGGGGGTGTGTCAAATGTTGTAGCCTGTAGTGAGGTTTGTCTTAGGGGGTACAGAAGTTAGGGTTTGTCATATGTACCCCAACCAACATCAATGCAACACTCATTCCTCATTCTGACATTAAGCGCCTCTGTCGTGTCGAAACTCAAGACACAAGCGAAGCAGCTCAAATCGAAGCACCACGAGTCAACCCTCGAAGGTTAAGGTAACCGGTGGAGGTTACGCGAAGGTCAAAGGTCAGCGACCTTTGACTTGACAAATGCAGCGCGACAACAAGGACATACAATTGACTCGACATTGAGCAGTTGCCCGGGTCGCACTGTATCGAACCGCAACAGCAAAACAGTTTAATTATATCTATTCGCATTCCTTGTACTCTTATATATAAACCTTTGTATTTGCTTGTTTTTAATCAACTTACTTCGCCCTCACATACCGTATTCCCCCGGACATACCACCCTAGGGTGCTATGATAACTACACAAAAAAATGGGGGGGGGGTCTTGTCATCGGAAAAAGCTACATTGCACCCGGGTCTTTTTATACGGTATTTTTAGTGTAAGGATTTTGATGCAAAGACAACTTGGGTGTTTTCAAAGTTGGATTACCATCACAGCTAGAAGCGAGAATGTGGGTTTTGGCGAGATCCTTTTCACCCCCCTTGAAATTGCCAAGTGGCACCTTTTTGGCCACTTGGTAGTGAACAATCTTCCAGCGTGGCAGTAGCGTAAAAGAGGGAGGGGGGTGATTTCGGTAGATTACATCGAAACTACCATGAAATTTCATCGCGGAAGTTATTTCCGCGATGTTCTGCAGTACTCGCTAACAGCTATAATTAGAAATTTTGTATGAAAGGAGGGTGCTATAGAAAATTCACCCCAAAATGGGGGTATAGTAGAAACGAGGTCCGCTATAGCACCCCCCCCGCACAAGCCACCCGGGGGGTGCTCTATTTCGGCGGGTGGTATGTCCGGGGGAATACGGTACTAGCGCAAGGTGGTTCAAAGACTTCATTCAAAACGCTTCCGCTATTACATCATTCTACTCAAACTTTAACTCTACAAAGATCCTAGGGCGCCTCAGCCCAACAGAGCGGACCCTGTTTTGTACCGTACTCAATGAAACTCTCCGTGCATGAGTGATTCCGGTTGGAATAATGTCACTCTGCATCGATGCGTGAGAGCTCCTTGTCCAGGAGAGGCACGTAGAGAGGACTCATGTGCGTCCCATCAAACTCAAACTCGCGCCGCAGCGACTCTGCATGGTGAGCGGGCGAGCAGGGGTAGCACAAGAACATGTAGTCGCTGTGTAAGGCATGCAATACACACTCAGGCACGACACGGAAAGAAGCACAGAAGCTACAAGTATAGCATACACTAATACATCACCACCGCCCCCATCCCCCACTCTATCTCCATCGCACTCTCCCTTGTTCACCCTCCCGCAGCTCTCCCCACTGCTTAATGCCATTCAAACGCATAGTACCTTGATCATCAGTGAGCAGGCCATTGAAAAATTCCAGCATGTGCAGTCGCCCCTCAGCAGCAGGGGAGGCTTTTGAGGCGCCTCAAAAGTCCTCTCCCCACTGCTTTAAGCCATAGGCACGCACGCATACCTTGATCATCAGTGAGCAGGCCATTGAAGAAGTCCAGCATGTGCAGTCGCCCCCCAGCAGCAGGGGAGGCAGCGGCAGCCAGGCAGCGGCAGCGCAGCGTGGCGTTGTAGATGCGCGCGAGCGGACGCGTCTCGGGGATGACTGAGGGCACGGGGTGCACGAAGATCTCAAAGGCGCGTGCTGCGATGAGCGAGAGCAGCACTGCGATGTAGATGTCCACTGTCACCTCCACTCCCTCCTCCACGTCCTGTTTGGTGTGACATTGGGAAGCACGGAGAGAAGAGAGGGAGGGAGGGAGCGTAAGGGTGGACGAGAAAGGCGGGATGGCAGCGCTGCGATGAGCGAGAGCAGCACTGAGATGTATATGTGGACTGTCACCTCCACTCCCTCCTCCACGCCCTGCCGTGCGGGCAAGGAAACCGGAAAGCACGGAGAGAACAGGGGGATGGAGTGAACAGGAAAGGCGGTATTGCGGCCTGAGGCATGCAGTGAGGGGACGGCAGGTGCAGCCAGGGATTTACGCAGAGCGGCGAGCCGTGACACGGACTAGGCTGCACGGGAAGCAGCGCCAAGGGGGGAGCAGAGCGCAGGGGGGAAAACCATGGTGCGGGGCGTGGCGAGGGGGCTTGCCTTGTACTTGGTGCGATCGACAGAGATGAGGATGCCCTCCCTGCAGTCTATCTCCCCAAACAGCACCACCACCTCGCTGCCCTGAGGCACTCGCTGCATGGCCCGGTGGAACGACGCCTGGATTGGTGCATGCATGCAGGGGAGGAGACGTGGTGGCGTGGCACGCAGGGGCAAGAGCAGAATGAGTGGGTGAGAGGGATGAGAAAGCGAGAGCTAGGGGGATGCAGAAGTGAGGGCGAGAAGCGGAATAATATGAGCGGAAGCGGGATGGGAGGCGATGCGAATGCAGTGGGGTGATGATTATGATGACCTTGGGGAAGAAGGTGGATTCAGGGCGCAGGTGCCACGCCTTGAGCCCTGTGATGAGCACCGGACACAGCAGCCGCGGCCGCCCCCTCAGCTGCACCACCCGCCACGCTGCCGCCATGCAGTGGCTGTCGCCTGGGGAGGGGTGATGGGGAAGGAATGGAGGGCGAAGAGAGGGAATGAAGACGTGCTTATGGGACTATGCTGCTCGTGGCAGTGAGTGAGATGCTGGTGGAGAGATGGCGAAGGGGAGGAGCAATCTGCAATGCATTGAAGAATGGCGGCGAGGAGGCCAGGCAGGAAGAGACGAGGGGATGGAGGGAAACAGAAGGACGCTGGAATGGAGGGAACGGAACACATGGCAGACAGAGAGGGGAGGGAGCGAGGGAGAAGCAGGACTGACCAGCAAGGAACAGTGGCTTTGGTGCACTGTCGGAGAGGGAGTGGGGGATGGGGTACTGTGTGAGCAGCTGGAAGGCACAGCCAAAGTACGCCGCCTCGTTGCGAATGAGCGTCTGATGCAGGGGCGTAACCGAGGCCAGTCGTGCTCGCTCCACCAGCGCTCCCACCGCCTTGGCGCGCTGCACGGCCCCTCCCAGGAACAGCGCCTTCACTGTCGTCATCAGCAGCGCCAGCACGTCTAGTTGCTCTGAATTGTACTCCTCCTTACCCATTCCCACTCCTGCCACTTCCCCACCCTCGCCGCCACCGTCCCCCTTGCTATCTGCCCCATTGCTTTCTGCACCCCTACTGGCCACCCCGGCACTACCGGCCCCCAGCTCATCACAACCGCCCTCCTGTGCGCCCCCACCATCCCACCTCCGGAGGAACTCCAGCTGCACGCCCCGCTCATGTGGGCAGGGCGAAACATCCTCGCAGCTGCCCGGGTGGAGGGGCAGCCCTTCAAAGAACGGCAAAACTGAGCCAAGCGTGATGGGACCGAGGCGAAACCCAGGGCGTGCTTCGCAGAAGGAGCGTGCGAGGTGCAGCGCAGCACAGCCGTTGAGCATGACTTCATGCAAATGCAGCAGCGCCAGCACGTGACTGCTGCTCCCAGGAGCGAGCGCCACAGCCACCTGCATGAACTCACACGCGGCGTCCAACGCACTGTGGTCCTTGCACGCTGAGGCGAAGAACACCAGCGCACGCGCCGTGTCCGCAGGGGCTCCTGCGCCGGCTCGCAGCTGGGAGAGCAGCAGGCGGCGAGCAGAGGCGTGGTGCTGCAGCACGTGGGCGATTTTTGCACGAGCTGTGGAGTGCTGTGGGTGTGCTAGTAGCACGCGCAGATACGCCTTCATTGCCTCCTCCTCCTCCTGCATCCTCCCTCCTTCCCCCTCGCCACCCACCTCTTTCTTTGCACCCGAGCCTTCTGGGCGTTCCGCTGGGTTTCCCTGTGGTGTGTGAGTGCCTGCCTGTGCCTTCTTTTGTTGCAGCAGCACATCACCATATAGCAGGAGAGCGCCCTCATGGTGCTCGTCGCCCTGCAGCACTCCCGCCACCACTGCTGCCGCCACGTCCACTGCCCCCGCCTGCAGCAACGCACGCCCACACTCCACCTTTATGTCATCCAATGAGACATCGCCATGTGGATCGCCCGCGTACGGACTGTCCACATCCCACGCTCCCCCGGCTCCGCCAGTCTTCATCCCTTCACCCTTCCCCGCCTTCCCCCCATCCCCCTCCTCTTCATCATCCTCCTCCTCATCCTCGGGCAGACCAAACATTTCAGCCGCCTGCTGCCCGCTCACCCTAGCCCGGCGCATCATCCGTGCGGCACTCTGCTTGCTGCCCAGCACCCCCACCATGCCCCCCCCTCGCCCGCCCTTCCCCGCGCCCCTGCGCTTGCTGTGCTGCGGCCAGCCCTGCTTGGTCGCAAGGGAGAGGGCACGGTCAGCCAGGGGGAGTGCTTCAGTGGGTTGCTGCAGGTGCAGAGTGGCCTGCGCGAGGCGCAGGTGGAGGAGGGGGTCTGAGGGGTGTGCTGCCACGGCTGCCTGCAGCACTGGGAGAGCGCGGTCGTGGCGTGATATGGCCATGTGCATGGCCGCTAGTGGGGGGGGGGGGAGGGCGGAGAGGGGCAGGGGAAGAGCGTGAGGAGAGAAGGGATGGGATGGGATGAATGCAGCAGCATGGAAGTGATACATGTGCATATGGAGACTAGGCAGGCGAGTGATGGGAGAAATGCATTGTGCAAACCCTTACTCCCCTCCACGTCCCCTCTCCACGTCCCCTCTCCACGTCCCCTCTCCACGTCCCCTCTCCACGTCCCCTCTCCACGTCCCTTCTCCACGTCCCCTCTCCACGTCCCCTCTCCACGTCCCCTCTCCACGTCCCCTCTTCACGCCCCCTCTCCACGTTCCCTCTTCACGTCCCCTCTCCACGTCCCCTCTCCACGCCCCCTCTCCACGTCCCCTCTCACCCAGCGCCCTGTAGGCGAGCTTGAGGTTGGGCACCACCGCGAGCAGCTCATTCGCCAGCAGCATGGCGTGCTGCCATGGGGGGAGGGCGAGGGGGGAGTGAAGTTGGGGTTTGGTGGGGTGGGTGGGGGGAAGACGAGTAAGAGGAGAGGCACAGTGGAGGAATAGTGGTGTGAAACTGAACGCAATACATAGCTGTGATCTGCTAAAGGGGAACGATGAGGAACTCACAGGTCAACCAATGCCACCCAAGCTACTTCTCAACCCTCGTTCCTTTCCACCATTCACACTAACTGCCCAAGCGAATGAGATAGATTGCAAGCTCAGAACGACACCCCTGGAAAATGCACGACCGAACAACCAAGGGACAGTAGCACGGCGCTGGCAGGAGGCCCCCTACTCCTCCTCCTCAATTCCAACCCCCACCCCGTCGGTGCCCCACACTCCAACAGCCATCGTACCTTGTACTGGCCCTTCCTCTGCGCCTGCAGCAGCTGCTGTGCTGCATGCCGCACCAGCGGCAGCGCGAGGGGCGACTGGCGGAGACAGGGATCAGGCACCAAAGGGGAGAACGGGAGAGTGCAGGAAAAGATTAAGTAGGGGTGGAGGGCTGAGAGGTGGTGCGTGAGTGAAGCGGAACAGGGGCTTGGAGTAAGGGCAGGCGAGGACGAGGGGGTGCAGCAGGCGTGTGGAGTGGGTGGGAGGTGAGACAGAGGTGCGGCAAGAAGAGCAGAGTAAACGACACGCGGGTACACGGTCTGACCTGTGCGTGTGAAGCAGCTGTGGTGCGCTGGGTGGTGGCGGCAGGGGAAGAGGGCACCGATGTCACAGGTGATGAGCTTGAGAGGTGCTTCGCGAATGCTGAGGGGATGGACGGTGCAGGAGCAGGCGGAGGCGCGGTGGTTTGAGAAGCTGAGGGAGGGGAGCGTGTGGGGGGGCCAGCAGTTGGTGCGGTGGCGGCACCATGGTCGGGAGGTTGCACTGGGGATTTTCCACTGTTCGCCGCCCCCTGTTGCTGCTGCTGCGGAGGCGATGGCTTGTGCGGTGGTGGCTTGTGGCGGACGAAGAGGTCATCCCTGGAGGGTGGGGCATGCAGGCACGGAAGAGGACGTCAGAGAGCAGCAGGCAGGTATTTGGGTGGTTACATGCATCGAAAGAGTGAGGGGTGCAAAGAGCAGGGAGGATGACTCCAGAAGAAGGTGTGGTGAATTGTGGGAGGTGAGAAGGTGATGGCACACGTGGTGCACGGGCACACGTGGTGCATGGGCACACGTGGTGCACGGGCACACGTGGTGCATGGGCACACGTGGTGCATGGTCAAACGTGGTGCATGGTCACACGTGGTGCATGGTCACACGTGGTGCATGGTCACACGTGGTGCATGGTCACAGGTGGTGCATGGGCACACGTGGTGCACGGGCACACGTGGTGCATGGTCACACGTGGTGCATGGTCACAGGTGGTGCATGGTCACACGTGGTGCATGGTCACACGTGGTGCATGGTCACACGTGGTGCATGGTCACACGTGGTGCATGGTCACACGTGGTGCATGGGCACACGTGGTGCACGGGCACACGTGGTGCATGGTCACACGTGGTGCATGGTCACACGTGGTGCATGGTCACAGGTGGTGCATGGTCACACGTGGTGCATGGTCACACGTGGTGCATGGTCACACGTGGTGCATGGTCACACGTGGTGCATGGTCACACGTGGTGCATGGTCACACGTGGTGCATGTGCGCATGGCTTGTGGCTTGCTGCGATGGTATTAGCACAAGCTGTGACTCACAGGTCTTGCACTGCCTTGCTCAGCGCTGTGCTGCCACCCACCTCTTGACCTCTGCATGGCATGGCAGCGGGAAGGATGGGGAACCGGAGGGAGAGTGGCGGGTTGGAGGGGCGCAGTTGCATGAGACGGGAGGCACGGGGCCGGGAGGAAAGCCGGGAGAAAAGGGACGACTGTGCACATCCGCATCTACAGAGTGTGTATGGCATGGCGGAATTTGGCGATGAGGCAGGGCGTGTGGGCACGGAGCATGGGTGATGGAGCATGGGTGATGGAGCATGGGTGATGGAGCATGGGTGATGGAGCATGGGTGATGGAGCATGGGTGATGGAGCATGGGTGGGTAGGGCCGGCTCACCTTGATTTGTGGAGTGAGAGAAGTGAGGGCGAGAGAGGGGCGTGGGAGGGGTGCTGGTGGGGATGTGGCGGGTCGGGGTGGGTTGGGTAGTACGGAGGGGTGTGAGGGGCACGGGGTGACACGGAAGGGAGGAGAGAGAGAGAGGGGGTGAGCATGCCGCAAGGGCGGCAAGAATGGGCGAGGAGATATGGTTGCAGTGGCATGGGGACGGAGGTGGGACGGAGCACGAGGGGAGTGGAACAAGGGAGTAGGGAAGGACGGTGGGGGGAGAGCATGAGATGGCAGTGGGAGATGAAAGAGGATGGGCATGGGCATGGGCATGGGCATACCTTGGCATTGAAAGCGGAGGCGAACCGCTGGTGGGGAAGGGGTGCAGGTGGGACAGGGGGCCAGGAGGGGGAGAGGCGAGGAGGCGCGGTTGAGTTGAGTGAACGGCGTTAGATGCGACTACACACAGGAAGGGAGGCGGGGCACATCCGATGCCAGGATAATCGGACGGGTGATGAGTGAGAGTACGGAATGAAACGGGGGAGTGAGAGTGGGAGAGTGAGCGTGAGAGAGCGCGGATGCCGCATGTCTCGTCACTTTGCGGAGCTGCTACCCTCGACCCTCCTACGCGCACATCCCCTCACCGCGATGAGCTCCCCCGCTGTCCGCACGGCGCTCGTGCCGCCTGCGCTCGTCGCGGCCGCGCGATCCGCGACCACAGCGATGAGCGTGAATTGCGGATCGCCGTCCCAGTGCGCATACACCTTCATCCCCGCTCGCCGCTTCGGATCGGAACTGTCACGAGTTAACCTCACACACGCCTTGTTTTGAGGCGCCTCAAAAGCCGTCCCAGTGCCCGTACCCCTTCATCCCCGCGCCGCCGCTTCTGATCGGAACTGTCACGAATTCGCCTCACACGCGCCGTCTGAGTCGACCCGTGAGTCACCTCGCTTCGAATCGAAAGCCTCACGCGTTAACTACACACACGCCTTCTTTCCTACGGCTCGCTATATTTCACGACGTGGAGCTGCCTCGACGTTCACGAGAACTCTTTCAAAGGCCTTTGAAAGACGACTCCTCGTGCTCGCTCGCGAGATAACAACGACGGAGCTGAGCTGCCCCGATGTTCACGCGGCTGACGGGCACACCGCATCCGGCATCGTCGGTGCTGTGGGAATGGGGTAGAAGTAGAGCTGGAAATGGTCGTTTTCAATCAATTGACGTGCTGCACGAATCTGTGTTGTGAAGTCCGAGATATTGGGTTTGTGCGAACAAGTGTAGCGTTGCAGCAAAAGCGGACCCAAACCAACGCTAAGGGCGTGTGTTCGACCCGAAGTTCGACCCGAAGGACACACGCCCTAAGTCGGCCCTACGTCTCCCCGCTACATCATATCCCCTCACCTACTCTCATCCCCCCACAACCACCCACGCCAATCCCCGCCCCGCGATCCACGCTCCCGCGACTCGCGCTGCTGTAGCTGAAGCGAGCGAGCGGGAGTGGCGGCCACCGCGAAGCACGCACCACGCCGCACACCGCATACCGCTCGCAGCACGGCAGTAGCATAAAGCGGCGGCCCGTCTCGTGGGGTGAAGGGCGGGGGCGGCGAGGGGCAAGGGTGAGGCATGGAGGACGCGATGCCGGCCGGCGGGTGGACGGACGCCGAGGCCACGGGCGCCGGCGCGTCGAGCAGACCGGATGGCGCGGGCGACACGCAGGGGTCGCAGTGTGACGGGCGACGGCTGCGATTCTTCGACCATGCGATGCGCAAGGCGTGCTGGGAGAAGGCGGACGTGGTGCCTGGGCGACACCCGGACAGGTGTGCGACTGCCGCAAATGCCACCTGCTCTCACATCCCCTCTCTTCCTGCCTCGTCACTTCTTTTGTCCTCTTCTTCTCGCCCTTCGCCCCTCGCCTGGCCTCGCAAGATCCCTCCCCGCCACGTGCAACGTTGACGGCCCCGGATGGCGAGGTGACCTTAGAGTTCGCCCCAAAAGTCACCTCGTCTCTCCCCGCCACATGCGGCGCGCATTGTCCGGGGTGGCAGGTGGCGCGTGGACGCGGCGGGCAACACGGTGGGGCGGCGGTTCAACGCGTGCATGGGGTGCCTGTGCTACGAGTTCGACCACATCGTGCCCTTCTCCAAGGGTGAGTGAGACCACATCGTGCCCTTCTCCAAGGGTGAGTGAGACCACATCGTGCCCTTCTCGAAAGGTGAGATGCACGTGCCGCAAGAGAGGTGCAACACAAGAGAGGCGTGAAACAGGCGTGCAGCGCGAGGTTGAGGGGTTGAGGTTGAGGGGGGCGGAGGGGTTGAGGGGGGCGGAGTGAGCAGCAGCAGTGGTGCAGATCGGTAACGATGTGACGCGGTGACCGTTCCGCGCACGTGCATGTGCTTCTCATTGTGTGCTTGCTTCTAGCACCAGCAAAGTTCCCAACCGCATGTGCTTGCTTGCTCCTATGCACTGCACCCACCATCCACATGCCTGCACCTCCTCCTGTGCGTCATCCGTGCACCACTGCTCCATCCCTGCCCTCCCCCCCATGCCCCTGCACGGGAGCAGGCGGGGCGACCTCGGTGGAGAATTGTCAGCTGCTGCAGACGCGGGTGAACCGGTTCAAGTCAGACAAGGACCAGCTCTCACCACAGGAATACTCCCATGCCTCCTGCCACCTCACCCTCACTGGTAACCTTTGCCCCTTGTTCCTACCTCCTTGCGCCTTGCTCGCTCCCTGCTCCCTGCTCCCTGCTCCCTGCTCCCTGCTCCCTGCTCCCTGCCCATGGTGTCCCTGCTTCGAGGTGGTCTGTGAGTTGACTCCAAGCTCGTTTTATCATGTCTCCTGTCACCTCGCTCTTGATAGTAGCGCTTCCTCCTCGCTCCATGCTCCTCCTTTCTTTGCACCACAACACATCCTCCACTTCACCACCATCAGATACATCACTCTCACCGCTCAAGTCCCCCATTCTTCCCACCCACATCTTCCTTTTCCCCCTCTCCACTCCTCATTCCACCCCATCCCACCCCTCCCCTGCCCCCTCCCTCGCATACCCCCGGCATGACTGCAAGGGCAGACAGGGACCTGGATGTGGTAGAGATGGTGGTGTACGATGATGTGGTGCGCCCGGGCGTCCTTTACCCCCTCTCCACCCACCCCCTCATGCCAACCCACCACACACCCCACTCCTCGTGTCTCCCCCTCCACGGGCAGACAAGGATCTGGATCTGGTGGAGATGGCGGTGTACGGCGATGTGGTGCGGCCGGGCATGCAGTGCCGCGTCACCACGGTCGCCGAGGCCATGGGCGTGCTGCCCCCTGCCCCGCGCCGCCGCCCCACCAAGCCCCAGCAGCAGTACGGCGCGTGCCACTGGCCCGGTGCTGCCAGTGAGCAGGCGCAGGGGAGCCTGTCCTGATGGGTGAGTGGCGTGCGAGCGGGCAGCAGAGTGGGGCCTGCAATGAGGGCTCTTCAGTGGGGGGCCTGCAATGAGGGCTCTTCAGTGGGGGGCCTGCAATGAGGGCTCTTCAGTGGGGGGCCTGCAGTGTGAGTGGTTGGATTAAAAGGTGGTAATCATGATTCGTACGGTACGGTATACAGAGATGTGTTTGGAAGAACAGTTGACAGTGTGACGCACACATCATGCGTAAACGGTTAAAGTTCCTCATGCTGTGATGTTAACAAAATAAGAGGCACTGCACTGTGCAACTAAAGCGGTTGCAGCCACGGACTCAAGTGGAGAGAAACTTTCACCTTTTACTCCTGCAAACGGTTTATGCTACGTGCGGCCCAAGTTACGGTGGGTAGGTACCGTTGTGCTTATAGAGAAACCAAGCACAAAAAAAATCAAACCCTGGTGGTGAATCTACTCAGATGACCAGCTGGATCGCAGCAAGGACCAGTTTGGCTTTTCTTAATCTGGGCCCCTTTGTAGCGCATGGGCCATTTACCATAAAATACTGGTAGCTGTTTTATTTAAGGTACCATTGTTCTGCTGATGAAGCCACGTATTCTTTGAGATAGTCGGGTATGAGATAGTGATACAGAGCTTTCCTGGGTGAAGTAGTGTACATCAGGGCCTCAGATTCACTTTTAGGGTCGTCAGGCCATCAGGGTCCCCCTGCGTGGGAACTCTGATTGTCAGTGTCCCAAAAAAAAAAAAGCTGAAAGTTCAGTGTTGCAAATTTTCAAAGCCTGATGCATCAGTGTACCATTTGCAAAAACACTGACTGTATTTCAGACTCCTACATTTAAAATAAATAGTCACAAGAAGAGTTGCTGCAGTTATAATCTAAGAGTCTCTAATAGGGGTCATGCATGCATCATCATCGGAATCAGAGCCATCATCATCATCACCCCCCTGAGCCTTTGGCTCTGCTTCCCACTCCTGTACTGCCTCTGCCTCCTTTCCCCTGCCACTACCCTGCCCCTCTCTTGCTGGAGCTGCTGCCACATTGCCAAAGGGCCGGCGCTTCTTGTAGCTGCGCCAGACCTGCACGATTTCGTTGTAGTCGGGCACGTACTCGAGGAGCGACATCGTGACAAGATCTTCAAGGCGGGCGTCTTTGAGGCTCCCACGCTGCCACGACTTGATGATGTTTTGGCGGGAAAACCCGCGCTCACATTCCACTGTGCTCAGCGGCAGTACGGCGACAGCGACCCAGAGACGCACAAGGTTGGGGTAGCTGGTCGTCCAGTCGCTTGTCTTCAGCATCGCAGTGAGGCCGGCATGGAAGCTTCTCTCGGTCTTCGGGGCACCTGCGAGGATGGGGCAAAAGGCTCGCAGCTCTTTGATCGCCCGGCGCTTGTCGATCCCTGCCAGACAAAGCAGATAAGTGATCGTTAGGATGACTGACCAACAGGGCAGAGGCAGACACCAACACAGAACTTTACGTTCAAAATGTTACGCTGAGTACAGCACTGGTGCACAATCAATAAACACGTACCAGGAAGGATGTAGTCTGTCTCCACTGCCCTGAACAGCCTGACGAGTGACATGAGCCACTCGAGACACTGCTTGTGGCGCTCTCCTCTCTCTGGTGGGTACTCATCGGGCATGAACAGCCGGACTCCCACAAGGGAGTCCAAATCTGCAAACCTCTTGGTGAGGTTGCGCACGAGCGCCTCTGCAAACGAGGTGCAGAGATCCACGCAGTTGTAGTGATTTCCCAGCGTTGGGTAGTCCTCGCTCGGGTTCTCGTGCAGTTTGAACGTGTGTTTAGTGGGCCGACCGTCTGAGTCCACTCCTTGCACCGTCACCTCGGGGTTGTCACTGTCCGGCCCGTACTTCATGATGAACGGGGACAGGCGCGCGCTCAACCCGCCCCCAAAATCATCGCCGCAGTCGACGTAGCGGGTCTCTAGGAAGGAGATGGTTCTCCTGATCTGCGCGTGCACACCTGCAATGTCAAGCTATATTTGGGCGAAAGAAATAACATTGCGGGAAACACGGCAGTCGAGATTGGGGGTGCTTTCTCACACAAATAATGTTTTGTTTGATTGTCAACAATATAACTGCAATGACAAACACACACAGAAGCCACAAATACAATAACAAGACATCAAGACAAGTTAAGCACACACGGAAACGCCAAGTCGCTCACCTCTCGCTGCTGGAAAGACTTGTTCAGGATGTTCAGCTGCTCGAGCACGTCGGCCAGGAAGTACAAGAGGAAGTGAAACCTGTAGCTCGTGGCGAGCTCGTACAGCGTCTCGTCCCACTCGTACAGCATGACGATGATCGCGGGGAAGACGGCCACCAGACGCAAAACAGCGTC